TGGAATGTGCAGGCCCTCGCATGCGTCACATCGCGCGGGAAGCCTCAGGCTGGCTCGGCCACCACGTGGAGCAGCCGCGCTTTGTGGCTTTGGCGTCAGGCGCGCGCTGCAGCAAAGCAAGCGCGCATCGCCACAGCTGCTCGGAAGTGTGCCGCCACTGTTGCCATGAGGCGACGAGCCGGTCATAGCCTACTCGACCCTGCTGGCGTCCTTCCCCACCCCCGACGGCCAGGCACAGGGCACGGGTTGCAGATTGCAGGGAGGCACTAACAAGCATGCGGAGCTTCCAGGTGCCCAAGGCGGTCCTGGCAGCAATGCAGGGCAAGTTCGCCATCGACTTGACGACAGACGCCGCCGTGACTCGCATGTGAAGTTGTTTTTGCTTGGACCGCGCATTTTGGGTTGGGGGGATCTGCGTGAAGGGATGATTATGACATGAGCTGCGATGAGCGACTCGCTCGTCCTGAGATGCTAGCTCCGGAAAAGTTCGGCACCCCTCGAGGCCCGCGGCTTGACGCAGCAGGGCCTCGAGAGGATCCTCGAGTCCACCGGCGACGCTCGCTTCGATGGGAGGGTGGTTGAGAGGCTGGCCATCCCCAGAGAGGCGGTGGTGGAGGGCTTGGCGACGTCGCATCCTACCGTTCTGCACCTCTATGCCTTCTACAACGTCCCGGCGGACTCCTGGGAGCGCTTGGGCGCGAGCCTGGACAGCGACCGCCTGCGGAAGGTGAACCTCGAATGGCCCCTCGGCCTTTCTCTATCTGCGCTTTTCGGGGAGAGCTGCGCCCTGCCGGGAGAGAGCCTGAGGTGCTTCCGCGCTTCTGGCGAGGGCTCCAAGGCGCTGCTGGCCGGGCTGGCGCGGTGCTGGAAGCTGAAGGACCCGCCGACTTCCGAGTTCCGAGCAGCTTTGTAGAAGCCGCGCCCGCGCTTCCAGGGTTTGGTGGCCTGGGGCTTTTTTTTGCCAGGAGCTGGCGATGGACGGTTGCGAAGAAGTCCCGGGCGAGGCCTGGGCGGAGCTCGGAGCCGCGGAGTGGCCGGAACTCCGGAAGGCGAGGTTCAAGTGGCGCCTCGGCCCTGAGAGCTGGAGGGGTAGAGGCGAGAGAGAGAGCTCTTCTGAAAAGAGAGGGAGGGAGAGAGAGAGAGAGAGACAGAGAGAGAGAGGAGGGAGAGGGAGAGCGAGTCTGCGAGGGAGAGCGTGCGCGATGCTCGGATGCCGGGGCCGAAGGTGTTTCTACTCAAGCGGCTCGGGCTCGGGGGAGGAGCTGCTGGCAGCTTTGGGCCGCTCCCGGCAGCTGGAGGCCTCGGAGAGAAGAGAGCCCCACTCCTTTTTGCTTCCGTCCCGTCCCGGCAGCGGCCGCCAGGAGGTGGATTTCGATTGGTGCGAGAAGATCCCCGACGCGGCCTGGGAGCTGCTGGGCGACGGGGCGTGGCCTCGCCTCCGCGTTGCCGAAGGCGTCCCGGAGGAGCACCTGCAGCGCCTGCGCGAAGCTTCTCTGGACCTCGAAGCGGGTGCAGGCGGGTGGAGCATGAGAAGCGTGCGTTGGGGCACTCGTTTCGTCTCTGGCTCTGGCTTTAAGTTCCCCCGCGTCAGTCGAGAGATCCGGAGCGACCGCACTGTGCGTGCCTCATGTGCTGCTACAGGAAATATAAGATTAAGTACTGTAGGAATGCGAGGCATGCATGGATGGATGGATGGATGGATGGATGGATGGATGGACGCATGCGTGGATGTCTGTCTGGGGACCGGAAGCAGTAGCTACAGCTAGAGGACGAAGCCGCGAAGCTTTTCGGACCGTCCGAGCGTTTTGCGAAGCACTGCCCGCATATCATGTGAACACTGCACCCTTCCGATCGACGCAGGCGAGGCGGCAAGCTCCATGGAGCTGCAGGAGCCCGCTGCCAAGCAGCTGCCGATGTACCCCACTTTCGTCACCTCCGTGGTGATGCCGGGAGACGGCGGCGCAGCGGCAGTTCAGGGGGACCTCGACCTGCTGCCCGCTCTGGCCCGCTCCGATGTCGAGGACGCGTCGGCAGGTTGAAGGGCAGCTGGTGCGTTATGTGAGTTCATGGTTCCTTCAATCGACAACTGATTTGTACCGGGCCGGTAACTTGCATGGTGTACAGGTGGTGGTTGATGCACGGATCTGAGCCCTTCAGGGTGCAGTTTGTACGTCAAGCAGCTTTCAAGATGCCTCCGGCCCTGAGGGCGGGCGAGCAGCAGTGAAAGGGGAGAGGAGAGCCCTCGCGGCCAGGAGCTGAACCTAGATCGGTGCGGGGATGTCCCTGCCGCCGTGTGGCAGCAGCTCGGCCAGGCTCAGGGTGAGGAGTTCCAGAAGCTTAGGAAGGCGAGCTTCGCACGGCGCCTCGGAGCGCAGAGAGTGCTGTGCGGCTCTCCTCTTGTTCTGTTGGATGTGGGAGGCAGGGCCTGCGCCTTTTCTCTTGCGAGGTGCTTCGATGAAGAGTCCAAGGGCGTCGATGGCGCCGCCGGGCTGCTGCTGGCCTTGAGCCGCTGCCAGCTGCTGCAGGACGTGCGCAGCTTTCTGGGTCTCGTCGGAGCTTCGTGGGGTTTCCTGCCACTCTTTGAGGTCGAGCCGCGAGGTGCTGAATATGACGATAGTCACATGCTAAGCTCAGTGGTTAGCTCCCCGCTCCGAGTTCCAGCGCGCGTAGAACCGCGATCGCAAAAAGGGGAAAGGGCCGAAGAACCCTGGCCGCAGCCTGGAACATTCCGACACCCCATGCGAGCCCAAACTCCGCCGCAGAGCAGAGCACCGGAGACCCGGCCTCTCGGCCAGGAGCTGGGCATGCGGGAGTGCTACAAAGTCCCGGCCGCGGCCTGGCAGCTCCTGGCAACCGCCCGCTGGGAGCAGCTCCGGAAGGCGGATTTCTATCAGCGCCTCGGAGGGCGGCTTTTTAAAGCGGGGGAATCCTTTCTTGATTCTTGAGGAGGCTTCGGCTCTCGAGGGTTCCAAGGCCTCTTTTTGTCAGAGACCCGTCTGCTGCTGCCGACGTGCCGCCGAATCCATCGATCGAGGTGCTTCGTCAGGGACCTCTTCGGCAGGGATTCCCAGGGCGCCGAGGGCGCCGCCGGGCTGCTCTCGGCCTTGGCGCGCTGCCGGCAGCTGCAGGACGCGTCAGCGCGCGAGTTCGATTCTGCTTGCAGCTTTAGCGCTTCTGAGGGAGCGGAGGCCGCGCAGAGGCAAGCGAAGTTGATGTTGGCGGGTGAAGCTCGAAGCCAAAATGGATCGGGCTTGTTACCTGGTCGTGGGTGGTGAGTCTGATTTAAATGCTCACTCGTATCGGCAAGCTGCCAAAAAGGCTACATTCCTCGTCCCCGAGGGCCTCGCTTCGGTCCAAAGCCCGCATACGCCTGAAAAACCTTCAGTCCTTCTTGGGACCCGAGACGGGTCCCTTGAGGGATTTGAGACGAGAGGCGCCACCCGAAAGCGAGGACAACCAATCCGATCTTGCCGGCCAGGAGCTGCTGATGGGCTACTGCCGTCAAATCCCGGCTTCGGCCTGGCAGCAGCTCGAGGGCGCCCAGTGGCCGAAGCTCACGAAGGTGGACTTCGAGGGGCGACTCGGCTTTTGGGCGCCTGTTGGAGTGTGTGTGGTCTCGTCGAGATGGTTGTTGGGGTGCGAGGGGGGATGTGGGAGTGGACGAGGTGGCAGGCACCCAGCCGTTTCACAGGAGCGGTCTAACAAATTGTCATGGTGTGCTTAGCTCAGAGCCGTGAAGCCGGTTCTTTCGCACTGAGGCGGCCGGCGCCAAGCCATTTCAGTGGGAAGTTTCGATGTTCTCAGGGACAGATAGTACCTTGGTAGTTGCGTTTGTGGACTGCAGACTTCGTGGGTTTATATAAGGCGGTCAAAATTGAATGGACTGTATTCCAAAGCATTTTGGCCAATGCGAACTCTCCACAGAAGAGTAGCAGAAGCACAGCACGGGTTCCAGCCCGAGGTGCTTCGGCAGCGACTCCAAATGCATCGAGGCCGCGGCTGGGCTTCTCGCCTTGCTCGGCCGCTGCCCCGAGCTGCAGGACGCCACCACCCACCTTTGCACAAGATATAGTCTTGCTATGTCTTGCTGGTCTTGCTACTTCCGTTCAGTTGTTCCGAGCTCTGCGGTTTTGGGCGGGCAGAGGGCGAACGGGCGAGCACCAGGCATGAACAGCGGTCACAAAGTAGCAAGAGAAATATGCAGGGATTTCCGCATCAATGCTCACAGTATGGAGCTCCAAAGCACACAATGCTCAGAGTGGAATGGAGCTCCAAAGCACTCCGGTGGAGGCTGGAAGCAAGGCTCCCCAGCGAGAAGAAACGAACATGGGGCCTTTGGCCTCAGGCCAGGGCCGCGCACTCCCGGGCGTTGGGGTTGCGGCGGCTGGCCTCAAAAGGTTCGACATGCGAGGGCCAGAAGCTCACCTCACGTCGATTCTGCGAGAGGTCAGGGCTTAGCACGGAGCGCTGCTGTGTACTTTCGCGGGGCGCGGTACCCGGGGCCGCGGTGGCGGTTCTATTGCCTAAAACAATCGAGGAAGCTTCTGGAGTTGTTCTTCCCAGGCCATCTCTAGACTCTAACCTTCAGGTTCGTCGTGTCCTGTCCTCACCTCTCCACTCCTCTCCACTCCTCTCCCTCTCCGCTCCATTGCTCTGCTCTCCACGCCTCTCCGTTCGTTTCCTTTCTTTGCCTGCCTACTCTTCTCCACTCCCCCCGTCTCTGGTATT